AAGTTTGAATCTCCTGAACTCTGTGACTTGGTTCCATGCCCTAGCCCCCGCCCCATCCTCTAGTATTACCTTTTGTAAGGAGTTTTATCAAACCCCCTGCATAAATTTGAGAAGAGTTCCATGTGAGCCAGAATTGCATTTCTCTAGCAATTTAAAAAGCAATTGCATTGCTTTTTAAATCTTGAGATAGTCACCAGTGTTGTAGCCCGGATTCAGATTTCTAATTATGGTTTCTTAGCATTCTGTATGTTACTTTCTATTCAGTTGTAACAGTAACCCTTTTAAGCCCACCTAAATTTTAAATACCTTCTTTACTTCACACTTGGATTACATCAGAACTGGAGAATTTCATCCGTGTGATTGACCAGTGGGTTGGGATAAAAGGCATTCGTCCCGTGGAGGGTGTTCAAAGCTGAGAGTCAGGAGCAGGCAGTTGAGTTGTAAATCCACTTTGCACCCTTTGAGTGTTGGTGTTTCCATTTTGATCTCTTGAATTTGGATCCACATATTGTGAACAGCAGCCCATTGACTGCATACAAGAAAAGCATCATATGTCAGATGTAAAGCCACACATATGTTATTATGGTTTATGGGAAAATGTAGGTTCCTGTTATCTACCACTGCAGATGGGTACTCTGAAAATGTTTCTGTTAAATTTATTTGGATTTCAATTTCTCCCTTTTGAATAACTACCTTTTAAATCATCTTGGAAATTCTCAGACTGCTGAGGATGACTCTGAACTCAATAGTTGACATTGTGAATTCTGTGATGAAACAAACATTTATTGAAAGCCTGCCATATGCCGAATCTATGCTTGCGATGTTTTAAATATGTGTATTTTTCCTTTGATTTTTATCAAATTCTTGAGAGATACCAAGATGAAGGCATTGAGTCTTAGCAGTTTAGGTGCTGAGATTCGAAATGGAACAGGGTCTAACTTCAGCATTCACATTCTTAATATATTCCAGATGATTGTTATATTTTGAACTTCATTACTCATATGAAATCAACTTTAATCTAGATATTGTGAAGGGCTTAGCATAGTACTTGGCATGCATTAAACACTCAACAAATCATATCTCTTGTTATCTCTACCACTCTGTTGGATGTTTTTCTTCCCCTTCTTTTTTTTTTTTCTGTTTAGTACCTCTGGAACTTATGTTTTTATTCCTTCAGTTTCACATTAATAGAATGAAAGCAGGGGGAAGAAAGAAAAAAATTGAGCAAATCCAAAAACAAAAGAAAGAGATGAAGAAATATGGAAAAACTAGAGATAGGAAGTAATACTTGCCCCACTGAGTGGTTGTTAATTATCACATTTGGCTCAAGTTTATATTCTCACATGTTGTTTTATTCCCAGGCCATATTTACGTAACAGCCAGAGAATAGTTGTGGCAGAGATTTAAACTATTGGATATGAATGTGAGTGCTAGCATCTTAGTACATGGATCCGCCATCCACTCTCTTTTCTTGTCTTTCCCAATAAAAAAACATTTCATTTGTATTGACTAGTTCCATGTTTTGAAGTGGGATACTCTGCTACGATATTTCTGTGAATCTTTCATGGCATCAAAAGTAATAGGTGCAAAGTGAAATTCATTGTCATTATTCTTCCCTACCAGATCCACTCCCTACCTCATTTACCCCAGTTCTTAAAGTGATGCTAGAGTCCCAGTGCCTGAGGCTGAAAATTAGTGTCGCCTTTGATTCCTCCGCCTCTGCAGTTCCTGCTCCCCGTCTGTCAACGCGCAGGCCTCTGACCTAGTAGTCTTTTCAAACCTGTGTTCTTCTCCCAGCCATTCAACTGGTTCTTCTCCCAGCCATTCAACTGGCATGTCTTGTCCTTATCTCTTCATTCTCAAAGTATCCTGCATGTTACTTCCTAGAACAAGATTTTACATTAATCCTCTTTTTAGGAACCAGCAGTGATTTCCATGTTCGGGTTACTTTGCTTAGATTATGGATATCCTTTCCTTATTGCAGTTAAATTTTCTAATAGTAATTACACACTTTTCTCCAGTTAGATGATTTTATTAGCTAATAATACATGGAAGCTGCTGTGTGCCAAAACTTTTCAACATACTTTATATTCACGGTGCAATTTCCATTTTTAAAAAGGTAACTGAAGTCCTGTAGCTTGGTTGGTGCACTCACAATTGGGGTGGACTGTTAATGAATGTGCAATAAATGCTTCTATTTTTCCCTCTGCTGCACCCCCTGCCCCCTTCCCACATGCCATTTGAGTAATTCTGTCTCTTGCCTTTTTTATGGTGATGCCTGTTCCTAGGGTATTTTTTCTCTGTGGTGTATCCAGTTCATATCCACTTCCTGTTCACCTCCACTATCCAAATACTACCTTGACTTATTTAGTTCTCATGGATCTTTTCTCTTGTCAAAATTCTGATGTGTTTGTGATAAATTCTGCATAGTTAATCGTGTAACTGTTCTCAACGTACTATGATCAGTTTTGTCTCAAATATTCCGAAAATTTTAGCAGGACTTTATGACATTAAATACTTGTTGAATGAATATTTTTTTCCCCTTTTCACAAGTAGGCATCAGCTTTCTAGAAGATATAGCCCGTGCCTTAATTTTTTCCCTTCCCCACATAGCTCAGTAGTGTGCTTGGCACATATGTAAGCACCTGGTGATTGAATGTGGGAATGTCTAGGCCGTCTGCCTTTTGTGACTTTCATAGGAAAATACCTTCTCAGAATGTGCACGTAGAGGTGCTTCAACCAAAAGGGTAGTGTAGAAGATTCGGGTATAGAAGTGTATCAGGTATATCATTACAGACAGATATTTGTTATATATGTTTATTTGGAGATATTAAAAACTAAATTTTGAGTACTTTCTGGATGTAAGGCACAGAACTAAGTGTTTTACATTTATTATCTTCATCCTTAAAATCAAGTTGTTAGGTGTTACAGCTGGTGATCAGAATGTTTAAATAGCAGTTTATAAGCTATGGAATTGGGTTGAAAGTCAGCCATTCTTGATTTTAAATAATGTACTTGAGAGTTGTGCTGTATATCTTCTTATTCAACCTCATTGTTGAGTTTTCACCACTTGAGAAATATCTCTTTGCTTAAGATCGTTACCTTTAAATATATTAGGTCATGCTGGTTTCCAGCATAAAGCAGACATTCGGTAACTGTTGGCCTTTATTGTTGCTATTTTTCCAAATTACACTAAAGTGTCCATGACACTGTCTTTCCTTGTGTGAACTTTAAAGGCAGAATCTGTTATTTATTACCTCTGTAAGATCTGGAGAAATATATATGTGTGTGTTTCAATATATTTGGAGTTTCACCAGGACAAAGAGGATTTAGAGAGTGAGAATTAAAAGTGAGCTACTTTGCTACTGTTTACAGTCATCTCTCTGTAGTAAAATGCCTGCTCAGTGTATCTGGATGAATGCCTGTCCAAACTCACAAATAGGAGGTAGGTGATGGGTGTCAGAGGTATCTGTGGTGGCTCTCAACATCTTGGGAAGGATTTTGAGTACTGATCTACTTTGTATGTTTTCACAATGGAGGATTAGGTACTTTTTTCAAGAGGTCATTTCATTTTCCTACAAATTGGAAAATGACAGAATCATGGGAAGCATTATTTAGTTTTTATTTTTGTTAATACGGTCTTTGTGTGTTAGATTATGGAATTTAAGAAATAAAGCTCAACTAGAAAATAACCAGTATAGTAAAAATGCTGCTGCTGCTGCTAAGTCGCTTCAGTTGTTTCCGACTCTGTGTGACCCCACAGACAGCAGCCCACCAGGCTCCCCCGTCCCTGGGATTCTCCAGGCAAGAACACTGGAGTGGGTTGCCATTGCCTTCTTCTTAGTGAAAATAATTGAAAGTAAAACCCATTTATTGAAATTTTAAAATTGTGATATAATGTCAAACATTTTAAATTGTAAGAAGAATATAAGGAGCTTCTATATTTGCTTAACCTATTTTAAAATAGTGACTTATTTGAAAAATAGATTTTTCTCTTCATCTTAGCATTTGCTAACTATGTAATAGGTCATAGTATTATCACAGTGGTAGAATGAATGATAATTTTGTTAACTGGGCCTAACTTTCCCCCTCCCCCCCTCAACTTTATTGGTATATAATTCTCATTATGGAAGTTTCAATTGTATAATATGTTGGTTTGATGCATTTATGTATTGCAAAATGATTAATATCATGACATTAGCTAATATCTCCATCTTGCCACATTATTATTTCTTTTTGTCATGAAAACATTTAAGATCCTGTGTTTAATGTTAATGCTTTTTAAAGTGATTTTTTAAAAAATCAAGATTTCCTTCCAGCATGTTGCTTCCCTTAGAAATATGTCTTCTGTATCCAGTCACTGCCCCTGACCTAGCTTGAAACCCCTCACAGTATTCGTACAGATCAGTTTAAAGATTTATCTGTTTGAAAGTTTAAGTGAAACCAGTTTGGAGTTTTGGGCTAAAACATTGTTCATTGAAATAAAATCAGTTACTGTTTTAGTGTGGATGGAAATATTATGAGAACATGCAGGCAATGCCCAAGTGTAAGGAATCTAATTAAATAGGGAAAAAATAAGCCTGATTTTATCTTGCAGCTGTACAATTACAGTATTCTAGCGGCAAGATGGAAAGCTTTTATATGGCTCAATTTTCAAATGATGCTTGAACTGACTACATTAAACCAGTATAATTAAAGGTATCTTAAAATTTAATGTCTGATGTGTAGTTAAATTTTAGAATATGAAGTTTAAATATTTAAGATCTCGCCATGTGTACTTGTTTTCACATTATTCACAAGTGGAATAATTTGTGAAAATTTAATTATAAAGTAGAAAAAGACTATACGAAATGCGTGAGGCATTTTTTATTTCATTTATAGAAGCAAAAGGGAACAAAAAAACCGTTTATTTAAATAAGTGGAATAAGGGACATATCTTTTTTTCAACATTGTTTGCATAAATTATACAGAATTTAATGTATTTGTATTTTTAATTTCAGATTCAAAATGCTAATGATGTATTAATTGCACCACTTGAGAAATTTCGCAAAGAACAAATAGGGGCAGCAAAAGTAAGTATTACATTTTATTATTCTTCATATATTCTCTTGATAATTAAAGATAATAGATGTAATTTCAGATGTTAACTTTTTGAAATTAGAGTGACCTTTTGAAAATTCTGTACGTCATTTAAAATTTTTGCACAGAGCCTATTCCAAAGACTGGAATTCTTTTAAACAGAAGAAAGATACTATTCTCCTACTGAAAAGAGAAAAAGTCAGTATAAGTGAGTTTCTTCCATCCCAACAATGGTAGGACATTAGTAGTTTTAAAGAGGGTAAAATCATTGCAAAAATATGGTAAGTATCCCTAACACCTATATAAAATAAAAATTAGGTAAGTATGTTGAAAATTGAGGCAGTAATTATAAAATTGCTTTTATTTTTTTGTATTTTTTATTCTTCATAAAAATATGTGTTTGTGGATAACTTTAGACATTTTTGCATGCCTCTGCATTAATGTTTAATTCCTTATGAATCAATTAAAATTTCTATGAGCCTAATAATTTCTGAAATTTACTGGCAACTTCTTTCCTAGTTCCATGTTTAACTACATTCTCAACATCAAGTAAGGACTTAAAATTTGAGTTTCTAAAACAGAATTCATCATCTGTCATACTCCCCCCATCCTTTCTCTGTTTTGGTTTTCCAATCAATGACAAACCCTTTTCTCCTTTGAGCAGTGTTTTCATTCTCCTGCAGAAATATTTCTCCTTCTATCCTTCTCCCTTCTGTCTGAAATTGGAATATTTCCTACTTGTTGAAGTCTTGCTAGCTCTCCATGGCTTGTTTCATATCTCTGCACCAGAAAGAAGCCTTCCTTTACATGGGTCTTTCCTTATACGTCTGTTCCCTTCCAGAATTGATTTTTTTCTTAGAGGATCAAGTAATCTCTATGTTTATTTCCTGTGAAAAGCTGTCACAGTCTGCCTTGAATTAGAGTTTTATGTGCACTTACCCACCAATTATGAGCCGTTATCAAGTCAAGAACGAAACCAGAACCATTGTGTGTTCATTAATTCAGCAAACGTCTGTCAGTATCTCTGTGGCCCACTTAGGGCGTTTGATGAGGTTAAGGGGTGCAACTGTAAACGGGACAGAGGAGCTCCCTGTTCTGCTGTCAGTTATTATCTTCTGTGTGTTTACTAATGCACTCAGGGTTGTGGAGCAGAAGTGCACGGTGCTTTGTGAGAATGTGATTAATGGAACTGACCTTGCCCAGAGAACCACACAATGCCTTCTGGAGGAAGTATTGGTTAAACTGAGAGCTGAGTGATAGGAAAGAAACAGCTGGGAATGGGGATACAGGCAGGGGAAGGGAGGGCCCTTTGTCACATTCCCGAAGAGGGAACAGGGTGGATGTGAATGAAGGCCTTGAAGAAGGAGAGAGTGGCATTTTAGAGTAAAACATTTTAATGCGTTTGGAACATAGAGGACCGTGGGGATGGAGGACATGTGCACACCTTTATTAGTGCTTCACAGTGTTTACTCCTTATTCTGTTTTACTTATTCACTGATCATGTAAAGAAATGTAGGTAGAGGAGCGATTATACTTGCACTTTAAAATATCACTCTAGTGGGACTGGAGGAGGGGGGACTGTTTGAGCGAAACCAGTTTGGGAGTTAATTGTTAGTGGCTGTGGGTTCAGAAGGGGATGGCGCCATGGAGACAACAGAGTATATTTCAGACATAAAACGAAAAGAGTAGGAAATGGGTTACAGACTGAAAAGGGAGCAACAGGACTTTTCAGGGATAACTCCCAGGGTTCCGTGTTTTTTCCAGCGGCTTACTGGCTTAGGCAGCATTTACATTTGAATGGCTGAAATGGTGAGTTTGGCCTTGAGTCAGGGACTGAACTCAGGGTTTCACCACGCCATCCAAGTGGACAGTGACTTAGCAGGTGTGCGTTCAGATCTGAATTAGAAATGTGTTTGAGATTTGTCCTCCAGATGGTAGTTAAAATCATGGGAGTAGGCTAGAGCCCTTAGGGAAAGAAGAGAGTGAGAAGAGCACCTAAATTCTTGATGATCTGAGAACTCTCAACATTTGATGTTTGGGAAGAAACAAAGACAGATAGGGAGCTGAGAAGGAAGAAGATAGGAGGAAGAAAATACGAGAATGTGGTGGCTTAGAGCAAGCAAGAGTGTTTTCAAGTGTAAAATAGCTGATCTTCCTTGAGATCCAGACTGCAGGGGTTTTCACTGAGTTATTAAATCTGTGACCTGATGAAATCCTCACAAGCAGCCTGGGAGGGGAATACAGGTGTTAGTTACATCTGCTTTACAGTGAGGAAAACGGTGAGGTCACCTGCATGCACCAGACCCCAGAGCTGGGAGGTCAGACTCTGTGTATGAAATCAAGCCATTTTCCTTCAAGGTCTTGGTTTACAATATTTCACTTCATCAGTGGATTTCCCTGGTGGCTCAGATGGCAAAGTGTCTTCCTTCAATGTGGGAGACCTGGGTTCGATCCCTGGGTTGGGAAGATCCCCTGGATAAGGAAATGGCAACCCACTCCAGTATTCTTGCCTGGAAAATTCCATGGACGGAGGAGCCTGGTGGGCTACAGTCCATGTGGTCACAAAGAGTCAGACATGACTGAGCGACTTCACTTTCATTTCATCAGTGATGTTTTTATAATATTAAAAAGCTTTGTGAAGAATTCTTTTTCTAGCACAGAATATTCCACATTTGGAGCTCATATAAGATAGTAAATTTCACATTTGTATAAATTCTTATTTGTTTACGTTTGCTACAGGGGTAGTAGCATGAGCGAGTACACTTATTTTTATTTTGATTTTGAAGTATCTCAATTGCTGAACAGATCAGCTGGGAGCACACAATAGCATTCTACACCTTGCCTACTCATTGGGAGGTTAACCTTAGGATTGAATAAATTCAGATGAAATCTTGAGCAAAAATGTGATTGCAGTGGGCCTCCTGGTGGTGTTGATTCTGTGTATTTTATTTGCCTGATAGCTGTTAGTACTATATTGTTTCTCAGCTTCTAAGTAATCCTTGTTTAGTAAGGTGAATAGAAAGCAGGAATTCTCTTCTGCAATATTTGTTTAGGTCATTGTCTTTTTTTCTGGTATTACAGAAGCATCTTGGTAGGAATAAAAATCTTGAAGATGTTGATTTCTTTCTATCTCTTTACTTCCTGTTCTACTTAGTTATTTTCTTACTTGGTAAATAAAGTGAATTCTACAAATGACACTCAGCCGATTCTCAGTCTTTGCAGTGGAGGTTTTGCACAAGTGAGTGCAGGCCTGTGAGGGAGCTAGAGGAGAGTTCCGTTACAGCAGGACACACTCAGCTTGGTGCTGGTGGGAGACACTGCGTCCACGGGGCCGGTCCTCACAGGCAGGTGGTCCCGTTCAGATGAAGTGGATAGAGTCCGTGGACCACAAACTTTCCCTTCGTGAAGTGTGTCTTTATGGATCTTTGAGACACCTGGTCCTTTGCTGTGGGAAGTGAGGCCCTGAGTGATGTACCATTGTGGGGAGAAACAAACCCCTGCATCTGTGAGAGACGTTAGAAGGGAGTAGTGATGAGAGTGCTGAACTGAAGCACAGCGGAGATGGGGCCTGCTTTGTGAACAGCTAAAGACTAGAGTTATCTGTAAACGCTTGCCAAGTGTGTATTTATTTTAAAGGTTCTTATTCTGAGGGTGTACACAGAATGGAATTGTATTGCAGGGCTGACCTATTACACATGTCGAAGTATAGAGGTGAATGTTTGGTTTCTTTAATGTGCCTCCTGATATACTGCTGATTTAAATTCTAGAAATGAGTGGAGAGTAGGTATTCAGAACGATTAATGCCAGCTAGAATTCACACGATATGAATGTACCTAGGGCAGCATTATTGTAGAACATGATGAGATATAACTTTTTTTTCACATTTTTTGTATACATTGGCGGATATATTTCATTGCATTGGAAGTGTTCTCCTTGCCCCTGGAGAGAATGAATTGTAAGTCATATCTGCACACATGTTCCTGCATAAACTGAATCCAGAATATTGGTAGAACTTCATACCTGAGTTTCTAATTAAAGACACATGTACTAGAGAGAAATCTCTGTCTGACTCATTTTCCACATATAAACAGACTGAGCAGTTAGTTGAGGGCAGAGTAAGGATCAGAACTCAGTTCCTCGGACCATCAATCTTTTGATTCCTCTGTGCTGCTCTTTAGAATGCTGTTTTGTGAATTTTTCTTTTTTGTCTACCATTAGCAAATAAATGTTTCAGTGTGAAACATTTTAATGATAAAAATGTTGCAAATAAGCCCAAACATGACCGCTTTGAAGCAAGCCTAACTAATGTATCTTCCTTGATTTAAAAATTCCCCAGCATACAGTAGGCAGTTAACATGGGTTGGTTTTATTAGATAAGAGAGACATGAGAAATACTACCCGTTAAAGTCAAAAGGTACATTTTCATTTTATGGGGAATGTTTTTAAAACTGGTTTTCATTTTCACTTAGACTTTACTGGAAATCATGTGAACATTCTTCCATGGTTTTAAAACAAAAATAAATGATATAATGTTAGTCATGGAAAAATAGAACTTGATTTTCTTTACATTAATTTCATATTGAAAATTGTAGTAGAACTGGATAATACTTGTCCCTTTGTTTTGTCCATAGAGGAATTTGGTTCTGCCTCTGGACATTTGTTAATTACATGACAAGGCATGTTAATAATAATTTTAGCATATGGTACCTAAAATATATTTGTTGATAACTGTCACAATTAATTCCTATACAACTTTAAGATTTCCTTCATGTGAAAAATGATTGCATCCTAATTTGATGTTTCAAATATGCAAGTGGTTTAGGGAATCGAGAAGAATTATAGATGCTTTCAAATTCAAAAGAATTTGTCACTAAACTGAGTTATTCATCCAATTTAAAGCATAATAAATACTTGAACTCATGTTGAGAACAATCCGAAAGCAAATCCCCTAGTGGTCCAGTGGTTATGACTCTGCTTTCCTACTGCAGGGGGC